TATTGTACCTAGTTATTATAAAAATACAATTCCTAAAAGAAATATAAAATATACGTAAACGAAATATGTATTATGTATATAATCTTTATGGATGTAATTATCTTTTTGTGTAATAAAGAAAAATATACAAATCGATTACTCGTAAAAAAGTCATATCGATATTAAAATCGAGATGTTCAACTAAAAGTCAATATTTGATGCGATGGGGAAGCTTTAGAATTTCTAGTAAGTTCTATAAAGTTGATCACTTTAAATGAGCAGCGAGGCCAATTAGTTTTTGTAATCGTCTGCCGTGTTTAAACGAGTATTTTTCGATATTCGTATAAAACACTATTTTATTATTGAAGTATTATATATAAAGCCTAGAAAAAGTAAGTTTTCATAAATTATGTTTAGTTTTATATATTTCCATTTATATTACCTCAAAAATGAATACGTACGACTATTTTTACTTTTTCTATTGCTATGATTACTAACTGTATTAACGTCATTTGTTTTTATTAATAAATGTGTAATATAAATAATATGGCATATTATTGTTTATGTTATGTTTATTTTTCGGTTCCTATCGAAATTGAAATTTGTTATTGGAATAAAATAAAATAATAAATGAAAGTAAACTATTACATAAAAGATATTGCATTTACTTCAAATTTTTATTTTATTTTAGGATGGTTGCAGTAGACATTTCCCCCAACCAGGATGGAGGTGTTTTGAAGGAAATTATCAAGGAAGGTGTTGGAGATGAAACTCCAGCACCTGGAAGCAATGTAATGGTTCATTATACTGGTACCTTGATGGATGGTACAAAGACTGATTCAAGCAAGGACCGTAATGCACCATTTCAATTTAAACTTAAAAAAGGAGAAGTCATTAAAGCTTGGGATATAGGAGTAGCTACTATGAAAAGAGGTGAAGTGGCAATGTTGACCTGTGCTCCTAAATATGCGTATGGCCAAAAGGGTTGCCCACCTGATATTCCAGAAAATGCAACACTTAAATTTGAAGTAAGTTATTTTCAAATCTTTACTCTTGTATATGAAAATATTAATTTCCATAAAAAATTTATTTAAAACTTCAAATGTTAAAACATTGTTAATATTTAAAGTATTCTTGACTTTCTTAATTCTTTAACATTGTAAATACATAATAATTATCTTTATTAGATTGAAATGATTGATTGGAAAGGAGAAGACTTAAGCCCTGACAAAGATGGAAGTATTGAAAGGTATCAGATCACACCAGGTAACGGCCATATGAAAGATCCAGAGGAAGGAGCTTTGGTAAATGGTAAATATAACTGTATGAACCTTTACTTTGTTTGTTTTTATACTCTATTTGTATTTAAAATTTGTTTGTTTTTCAGTGCATTTAACTGGAATGTACAATGATAAGATATTTGAAGACAGAGATGTAAGCTTCTCCCTCGGAGAAGGAGAAAATTGTGGTGTTATAGAAGGTGTAGAGATAGCCTTAGAAAGCTTTAAAGCTGGAGAAAAATCAAGACTTAAAATAAAGAGCAAATATGCATTTAAAAATGCAGGAAAACCTGAATTTGACATTCCAGCAAATGCAACTGTGGAATATATAGTAGAGCTGAAGAGCTTTGAAAGGGTACTTTTTCATTAAGACATACAGTCTAATAATTTAATCGTATTTTACTTTAATGTATCTTGTAAATTTCAGACAGTGAAACCCTGGCTCCTAACGTTTGATGAAAAGATAACACAAAGTAAAATGTTTAAAGAAAAAGGAACAAATTATTTCAAAGCAGATAAGTACAGTTTAGCAATTAAAATGTACAAAAAAGTCATTTCATTTTTGGATCAAGATGAATGCAAAGAAGATCTTAAGATCTTAGAAAGAAACAATCTTATTTTAGCAGCACATTTAAATCTAGCCTTATGTTACTTAAAAACAGACCAGAATGTGGAAGCAAAGGATGCATGCAATAAAGCTTTGAAATTATCTTCGCAAAATGAAAAAGCACTATTTAGAAGAGGACAAGCTTATCTTGCATTAGCATCGCCCGAAATTGCACTGAAAGACTTCCAAGAAGTTCTGAAAATTGATCCAACAAATACGGCAGCTGCGAAACAAATTTCAGCTTGTAATAATCTTATTAAAAAGCAATTAACGAAAGAGAAAAAATTATACGCGAATATGTTCGATAAATTTGCTCAAGAGGATAAACAGGTTTGTGAAAAACAGCAGTAATTTAATATAATTAATATTTATCTATTTAAGTCTTGTACGTGTAATATTAATGATTGATAGCATGTCTTTTATTTATATTATAATTTATAATAAAGAGAACGAGTAGTACACAATAATATTGATTAAAGTTATGTATGGCCTATATATATTTAAAACAAATTTCTGTATCATATTGACATGATATGTTTGACCATAAATTGTTAGTAATGTCACAGAAGGAGGAGGAAAAACTGCGAGGGCAACCAGATGTGATGTGTGGGGCCTTAGGTGAATGGGGACAGGAAGAACGACCTGGAGGCAGAGATGCAACTGCCTTTGAAAAGGAGAATCCTAACATACTCATGCTCAATGCTAATGGTACTGATGAATTTCAGAATATGTAAAATGTTCTCCTTTCTTCCTCTTACACTGCCCCACTTTTAACTGCCAGCAATCTGAAATTTTCTTAACTACATAATTGGCTTTTAATTACCTTCCAAATAGTACTATTTTGAAAATACAATGTAAAAATGCATGTCATACGGTTTATTAGTCTTCTGTGACATACAATGCAGCCTAGTCAAGGAATTTCATATTTTGCGTGACGAAATCACGAGTTTTAACAAATAAAACTTTCTTACTTATTGCCTTGTTCATTTCTCATATAAATTTAAGTTATAATAGCAAGAATTATAGTAAGATTTATTTTCATTAGTTTCTTTAGTAATTTTAATAAGTATAACATGATTGGCATTAATTTATAAACCTACATTCAAAATTGTGATGTTCAGATAAGTAATATTATATGTGATTCATTCCATATAATTGTAAATGAAATATGGTAAACCTTGATAATATATAATTCTTGAACAAATATCCTTTACCTTTCTTTACCTTTGTACAAATAATTTAGTAAAATTATTTTAATAAATTAGTATGTTATTTTGCTACTATATCATCATTTCGTAATTTTATGACTAATTTTTTTACATTCTTATGTAAATTTACTATTTTTAATTGAATTAATTTAATGTAATAAAATTTTTCGAATTACTTAACATTGATAAGAAAATAGCGTGTTTCTTAATAAAAATATCTAATTTCCTTAAACATTCATGCATATACATTTTATTCTGTAATAACTATTACTTAAGTAATAGAATGTATGTTTTTACTGAAATGTTTGTAAATGATATGATTTTTTACACATATTGTGAACATTTGTATTTTCTTTCAAAACTTCGAAACTAAAAGATAAAGATATAAATAGCTGTTTCCTAAGATTTTTGCTAACTCGCCTAGCAACAGTTATGTCGATGCAGCAATAAAGATTGGAACAAGTCTAATAGCTCTAGTTAAAGCACGAGTGTTGGAGGCAATAATCGAATTTTTGCTTTTATTTCTTAAGGTATACTTTGCGATCGAAACGTGCAAAACATAGGTAAGATATTAAACGTATCACGTAATGTTGTTCAAGGATACATAAACGTTAAATATTGCAATAAGAATAAATGTCATTGAAAGCATTGAATTATGCAAATTTATTTTACATTTTTGCTATTGGTTATTTTATAGTGCTTGGTGAATGCTACAATATATCTTGCAATCTTATTGGTAACTTTTATTATTTGATGTGTTTAAACCAATGATACGTTTTAATGTGCATTTCTAACATAGATTCAACGACTATTAACAGTACGCATCCAGGGAGATCACCGCGAAACTACACGCTCATATGATCTTTATTCTTCGACAGGATTCGATCTAAGTCGTCTGCTAAAAGTGAAGTGATTGAAAGATTGATCGTGCTTTAAAATGCCTACTATAATAAACGACATCAAATTAGATTTTAAAGATGTTTTATTACGTCCAAAAAGGAGTACATTAAAAAGCAGATCGGATGTAAGTAATATTTTAAAGAGTCGTATAAACTTGTTGAAATCTATGTATTTTTGAAATAATCTAAAAATATAATAATGCATGTGTTTTTTCTGCACCATTAACTTACAAAAAATAAATTTTTTCCTTATATTCATGTAAAAATAAGTCTCCTTAGAAATTATGTTTCAAGGACATGAAAATATTGCTTCTTTATCTCAAAGTTATCTCACTATCTAACGTATCAATACATTCAGTTAATGATCTTTACTTATTACATCCCTGGAATTGATTAAATAATTTTATTATTTAAAAATGTATGTATTTAAGATTACTTAGTATTGAATAATAATGAAAGAAACCTTTGATAATTTTAGGTTGATTTATACAAACACATTACATTTCGTAATTCAAAACAAACTTACAAGGGAATACCTATAATGGCTTCAAATATGGATACAGTAGGAACATTTGAAATGGCGAAAGCTTTATCGAAGGTACATTGCAGTTATTAATTCTTTATTTTATTCCAGTAACACATTTCAATGTCTAAAAATTCCTTATTATATTAAAGATTACATTACAACTGAATTATTCTATACTTTAGAGTCATATAGTATTGACAGAATTTATATTTTCATATCAACTTCATTACATTTCAGCATGGTCTATTTACTACTGTACATAAGTATTATTCAGCAGAGGAATGGAAGGACTTTGCCACTAAAAATCCTGAATGTCTTCAAAATGTAGCTGTTAGTTCTGGCACAGCAAAAGAAGACTTTGAACGGTTGTCAAATGTTCTAGCAGCTGTACCTGAATTATCTTTTATTTGCTTAGATGTTGCTAATGGATATTCACAGCATTTTGTTGAATATGTTAGAAGAGTGAGAGCTGAGTTTCCACATCATACAATAATAGTAAGTAATTATATCAATGTTATAATTTTTAAAGAGAAAACCATAAGAATGTCTCTTAATTTAGTACTAATTTACACCTTGTATTTAAAAGTAAAGATTAATTACTGCCACTGTAGGCAGGAAATGTGGTTACTGGGGAAATGGTAGAAGAATTAATATTATCTGGAGCTGATATTATAAAAGTTGGAATTGGTCCTGGATCTGTGTGCACTACACGAATGAAGACTGGTGTCGGGTACCCACAATTAAGTGCTGTGATTGAATGTGCAGATTCTGCTCATGATTTGAGAGGACACATTATTTCTGTAAATATGTTATCTTTGTATATTTAATAATTTTTGTAGCAAAATAATTACATGTTCCTTTTTAATAAATAAATTTTGTTATAGGATGGTGGTTGTACTTGTCCAGGTGATTTAGCAAAAGCTTTTGGTGGTGGAGCAGACTTTGTAATGGCAGGTGGGATGTTTGCTGGGCATGATGAATGTGGAGGAGAAGTTATAGAAAAAAATGGAAAGAAGTATAAACTTTTTTATGGTATGGCTTCGAGCACAGCAATGAAGAAGCATGCTGGTGGTGTCGCTGAATATAGGTTGGTATATAGACATTATCCTAATCAGAAGAGTATATTACATTCTTAATTTTATGTTTCCAATTTTTTCAGATCATCAGAAGGAAAAACTGTGGAAGTGCCTTATAAGGGTTCAGTGGAAAATACTGTATTGGATATGCTAGGTGGTTTACGCTCTGCATGCACGTATACAGGAGCTGAACGATTGCGTGAATTACCACGTCGTGCTACATTTATACGCTGTACGCAACAATTAAATATGATGTATGGCCCACCACCAGAAATCTGAAGTTATTGTAATTACCCAATTTACTGTAGTGTGGATTTAGAAAAAAATTGCTTATTGGGTCAATTAACAAATGCTGCTATTTGTTGGCAAATAATGTTTATGTAAAAATTGAAAAGCTTCAACTAACATAGATGTACATACGTTTCCATGACAGTTCTAAATTGCTTTGAATTTAACGAGTTCAAAGAAGGGAACGCTTGAAAGCACAAATATGTATTTTATTCTTACATTTATATTCTTTCTATAAATGCTTCACGCTTGACTGTACATACAGACATATATATCGTTATAAGTATTTAACATACAAATAAAACCTATCAATGTTAAAATAAAATATTTATGAATGTATTTTTTAAAATGATTCTGTAAAGCTAAGAATATTATGTGTTTGACACACATTGCATGCGGCTTTAAATGAGTTGATTACATATGTACATATGTATAAAGGGAATTCACATATATTGCATGTGTGTAGTACAAATTATTTTAAATATATGTATTAGAGCAAGTAAAAAAGTTAAAATTAAAAATTCTAAATTAATGAACTGATTATTATTTAATGTATAATAAAAAATATTGTCCTGAAATGCGTCTTGTTAAGGGGTTTTTATATCTTTTCGGTAAACGTAGTGGTACTACAAACCTGTTTGCTTTCCCCCATAAATTCTCGAAGTCAACATTTTATATAAAATAGTCTTTCAAGTACCTATTTGATTCTCTTGATTAAGAGCTATGGAAAGTTTGTTATCCTTGTTCCTGAAACATGTTCATATTTTTATTCATTATTATAATCTTAGAAATACAAAGAATATAGTTTTTAAAAAGGATCTATACAATATTCAGTATTGACAATAATGTTTAAATTTTGTAAATATATAATTAATCTTATTTACTTTTCAATATTAATTAATTATTTGCTTTTACTTACTTTAATTATAAATTGTAATTAGTACACAAAAATGTACTGTTAAAACACAAATATAAATATAAATTTTTTGCTGCAATATAAAATAAAAATAGTTTCCTTGAATTTAAGCATGCAACATGTTTAAAATATGACTTGCAATT